AAAAAAAAAAAAAAAAACAAAGCAAAACAACAAAACAAAAATTCAGATTTACCCATCGTAAACCACACCATTCCAGGTCCTAGGATCAAGCTCCAATATCAGAAAAAAGAGAATTTACACACCAGGAGCGAAGTGTGTAAAAGCACAGCACAATTAGTAGTTCCCGGTAACCACGCATGTCATAAGTATATTCTCTTGGGGCTTCTTTCCTAGATCCTACTGAACAGTCCGTAAAGTCCATTCAAATCTAACCGTATCTTTCACTCATGATAGTGATGTTAGTGAGAGAAGGGCAGGCAGGAAATAGAATAACTATTTAACATGCTCAGAGATAATTGCTTCCTAACATCACAGAAGGATATTTAATAATCCCCTAATGGAATATAGACAGTAGCTACCTTTGACATTGACCGTTGTCTATTATTATGAATAAAGACGTAAATCCTATGTGTGCCTTTGAAATAACAACTCACCAGAGGAAGAGCTGGGCAAAGACACCCTTGTTACCAACTGGTGCTAGCAATCATGAAGACTCTTTAGTATTGAAGCTACTGAAGGCCCTTCTACTTGGGAATATTGGCAAAGGGTTACAAAATTCATGTGGGATGCAAAAAGGCCCAAGTAGGCTGCACAGCCATCGAAGCTTACAAGGCACAGATCACAAGTCCCCACCCCTTCACCCGTTACATCACACACTGAGCTACAGTTCTTACTGTGGCAACTTTATTGTAACTAGAGACACAGATTTGGCCAAGGCCAGCTGACAGCTTAACCATTAAATAATTTAAAAGTTCTTTTTTTAAAAAAAAAAAAAAGGAAAGGATTAACGGAGAAGCTTTTATTCATCAACACAGAGCCTAACACATCGTTTCTATATTGCAAGGCAGAATAAAGCTACAAAAGTGTAACAGAATGAGGGAGAGTTAAGAACTGGCTCTAGATAATGATTTCAATCAACAAGTCAGACTCTCAAACAGGCACTGAGCTGTAAGACCTAAACCTAAACAAGAATTACCCGTCCCCACCCCCACCCAGATATCCCCAAAAGTAGTAAAAAGGAAACTGTCACAAGCTCACAATAGTTTGGTTCTCACCAATGTTAACAAAGAAAAACAAGATGAACCAACACTCGAGGAGGTGCCAAGATATGCACTCAGTAGGGAGAGAACCTCTGTTTCTCGCCTTTCAGTTTGTTAGTTACACATGGCACAGTAGAGGTGGTGGTGGTGGTAGCTGAAGCCCCGGTACCCTTAGCAGCAGACACAACATTTAGAGCCAGGAGAGGGATGGGTTTCATGCCAAGCAGACTGGAGACACAAGGGGCGGTCGGAAGAGGGTTGGGGAGGCTGGAGGGTGCGTCGGAAGTCCCCGCTGTGGCGAGCGAGGGGGTGGTGGTGGAGGAGGAAGAAGAAGAAGAAGGGGTGGAGGGTTGAGAGAGGTTGATGCTGAGGTGATCAGGGATCGTGACGGAGGCTGTCTGGGAGGAGGGTTTAGCGTTTTCTAAACTGTAACAGAGGAAAAAAGGAACAAAAAAAAGGGTGGGTGGAAGGGAAGACCACAACAGGGAAAAAGTACAGGACAAAATCCGCTTCAGTTCTATTAGTAAGTGCCTTTGGCTGCCAATTAGGAAGGTATACTACCAATTTTTACCAAACTCTTTTAGCTTGTGCCCACCCTCTAAATATTTGTATCATCACCTTCCCTCCTACACACAAGCTATTTAAACTGCTCTGGTAAAGACATAACTGACAAACTGAGAAAAGGAATCACACAGAGCATATACCCCCCAACCCAGAAACAGAGTAAAGTAGTCAGGCCTAGTGGCACAGCTACTATGGAAGCTGAGACAAACATCAAAAGCCCACAGCCTGCCTGGGCTACAAAGATAGCTTAAGAGGCAACTTTAAGACCCTCTTTCCAAAGAAAATCAGACAAAGATGTCTGGGAATTACCTAACACACACTAAGAGTTAAGTCCCCAAAAGTGTTTAAAGAAGACTATTATTTGAATGAGATACCCTGTAAACCAAACAAACAAAAATCAGTTCATACAACAGAATTTTCAGTTTTGCACTTAAGTGAAGGATCAACAACTCAACAATTACTTAGAATACCACATTATACACTGCAGCTATTTGAAGACTTTCAGACAGGGTCTTCCTGCGTAGCCCAGGCTGACTGCCAACTAGAACCTCTTGCCTCAGATTCCTCAGTGCTAGGATTACTGGTGTGAATCATCATGCATGCCTAAAAAATTTTTTTTCTGTAGTTAATATTAAAGCCTATTTACATCTTCACAACAAATGAACCAAAATATTAAAATGGAAGGAGGCAAAAAGGTCAAAGTAGATCACTAACTTCAAAGAATGTAGCATTAAAAAAAAAAAAATAAAGCTAAAAGAACAAGCATAGATGAGGTCCAGGGAAGCTTCCTGGTGGGAAGTTCTCATTTTAACTGACCATTCCTATATTTTAAAGTTGAAAAAACTGAAGTACTATCACCCTTTGTGGTTTTTTGTTCTGTTCTTGTTTTTGTTTTGTTTTGTTTCGAGACAGGGTTTCTCTGTAGCTTTGGAGCCTGTCCTGTAACTAGCTCTTGGAGATCAAATTATAGCTTTAAATTTAACCTTCCTTCCTGACTGGTGTGTTTTTAATAAGTTAGTGGCTACATTGTAAGGAAGCAAACTTGAGTACTTGAAGTAACTGCAGAATTGTTTAAATTAAACTGGTGAGTGAAACTATCCAAACTATGGATTTGGATCAGAACTTTTTTTTGTTTGTTTTTTTTGTTGTGTTTTTTTTTTTTTTTGAGCCGGTAGCCCTGGAAGTCCTGGAACTTCTTTAGACCAGGCTGGCCTTGAACTCACAGAGCTCCACCTGCCTCTCCCTCCGGAGTGCTGGGATTAAAGGTGTGCACCACCACACCTGGAATTTATTAGGTTTTTTTTTTTTTTTTTTGAGACAGGGTCTCTATGTAGCCTTGTCTGTCCTGAGTGCTGGGCTTAAAGTTTGCGCTACCACCAGCTAACCTTTGTGCTTAAAGACAAAAATAATGCACCTTTTAGTCCTACAAAGTCCTCCAGCTAAGCAGGGTCACAGGTATTTGCTGAGATAACACAAACTCCTACAAGGTCACTTCCACAGGAAACTTTCTCCTAATTCCATTCTGTTTAGCTTGTTGAGGGCCGTTTAGTCATTAATTATCACAGTAATGAGCCACATAAAGACACAGAACCTTATGAAAAAAAGCTTGGAGCACAGCGGAAATGCTATGAAGCCAATAATGAAAACAAATAAAAACAGTTTGCTTGTTTTCATTCAGAAAGCCAAGAAGAAAAGCTTTAAAAGGAAAAAAAAAAAAAAAGGCAGCAATGTGTACACCCTAGAACTGGTGATAAGGCTTTAAAAAGTTCTGACCCACTTTAACCCCAGCACTCAGGAGGAGACAGTGAGTTCAAGGCCAGCCTGGTCTAAAGAAGTTCCAGGACTTCCAGGGCTACTGGCTCAAAAAAAAACAAACAAAAAAAAGTTCTGATCCAAATCCATAGTTTGGATAGTTTCACTCATCAGTTTAATTTAAACAATTCTGCAGTTACTTCAAGTAATGAAGTTTGCTTCCTTACAATGTAGCCACTAACTTATTAAAAACACACCAGTCAGGAAGGAAGGTTAAATTTAAAGCTATAATTTGATCTCCAAGTAAGCAAGCTTACCCAAAGTGGAAGTTAACAATTTCTAGATCCCAAAAGCATTATTTTTGCCATAAAAAAACTTTCCTCCAGTGTGAATTAGAAACCAAAGTCTTACTAACAAGAGTCTGTGTAAGATTCCTGCTAATTTACTCAACATAAAACCTTGATGTGTAGTGAAACAAAGTACATCTAGACACAATTCTTTCTGTATGAAGAACTGCAGCATCTCAAGGGGAATGGACAAGTCTTCAACTAGGAGTAAAACACTCTGGATGTGTAACGTGACTGTGACTCCCTTTGGAAACGGACTGTTACTAACAATGTGAGTGAGCAGAGCGAAAGAAAGAAAACACCTGGTAGGATGGATGCTTGTTTGACTATATACAATTGTCCTACAACTAAAAGTGTAGGAACAGTACCTACAAATAGGGAAGTAAGAACTTAAAAGTCACTTGCAGATGCATGAGAATAACTAGAACAGAAAAATATCCCTGTAGTATCTGGAGCACCCCTAAGGCTGTGCTTTTTTTAACCAAAAAAAAAAAAAAAACAAAAAAAACAAAAAAAAATTGAACACACTTCCCATTTGAGAAATATGTTTGCAAAGTAAATGGTAACAGGTACCTACAAGAAACTATTTAGATGTATCATTATCCCTAAAATTCAAGTTACTCTGGACTCCAAAACCATAAAAGAAATAACCTGTCTGTATGATGATGTGTCAAACAAGTAAGACACATACTGCCACCCTTCCTACTGTTCCAAAACAAGCAATCTATAAAACCCCAATCTGGCTATTTTTCTCTGCTAAAGACAGAAGCAGAGCTATAGGAAAAGAAACAGGGTGGCAACTTTTGCAATCTCTACCCCCTCAAGTAAACCCACATATGGTAACACCCTCCCTCACTACTGTGGCATTAATAAAGCAAAGGAGAGGTCAAACTTACCTGACATTGATTAGATACTGAGCCAGGCTGATGCTGGCAGCAGACCCAGTGATGGTGACCTGCCTATCAGTAGATCCTTCCACTGGGTTTGCAATTTTGATCTGCGCCCCAGACATCTGACGGATCTCATTGATTTTGGCGCCCTGACGCCCAATTATGCAGCCAATCAACTTGAGAAACAAACAACAACAAAAAAAGCACACCAAATTAAGAGCCGAACAGCTACACATAAGACCACATACCAATCAATTTCTACACCCTGTGCTTAAATTTGCACTCTCCGACCTTCGGGTGTATTGCTAGCAAAACCTTCAAAATTAAGGTCTCATTTAATTTCTGAACCATTCATGTGATTAACTATAAATCAAAGCCAACTTCAAGCTAATTTCTCACTCCAACCATTAGTTTTTGCGTATATCCCATAGTATTGCCTCCACTCCAAAGACAAAATAACCAGAACCATACTGATAATGAACCTAGCATGCTATCTAGTGTTGAGCCATCAAAATTCGTGAATTCATCCTGACATCATCCCTCCTCCCAGAGCACAAAGTTAAATTCGGATGCACTTTTGGTCTCACCACCTTCCAGATGTTTTAAGTAAAAGGCAAATAAGAATTTCTACAGGAGAGAAAGAAGTTCTGTGTTTGAAAACTATAACACAGTTAATTCTATCAATTCTCTCTAGCAATATTTTCCTCAGGATTCTAACATACTTTATACTTACATCATTTGGAATGGTGAGTTCATGAGAAGTAGTTTGAGCAGATGCATCCAAACCTGCTAAAAGACAGAAAAGAGCAAGAAAGTTTAATGCACAGCATGCAGAATGAGTGATCTGCATATTAAATTAACAGAAGGAAATAAGCTGGAAACCAGCATTGGCTGTTGGGGTTCATCACTAACTCTGAAGCCCCCAAGGAGGAAAGATGGGAAAGGGGTATCAAAATAATGCTGCAAAGATTCTCCTGTACAATCACAAGAGCTGATTTCATGCCATTTCCTGCAAAGCCCAGACTACAGGTGTAAGGAGATAACACGGGGCAGAGTGTGGTATTCTTAAACAGGAGCAAAACCCGAACACCAGAGCTTCTATACATCTAAGTCTTTTCTGATTAAGATTGTTGTTGTGTCCTGGTTTTATTTCGCCCAATGCTCACTAGAATCCGTGCCAATTTCATTCCTGTTACCGGGTATCATAGACTCTTGGCACATACACTGAATTGCTTCAATTATACCTGTATCAGAGTAACAACCTCCATCTCTATCCTCCCGAGCTAGACTTAAAGATCACATAGATTAAATGCCAATAAGTTTGAGGGGAGTTTATTTCTCCAGATTTATTCTGTCTTTTGGTCTAATTCTTCTGGCTTTTGTTTGGTTTTCCAAAGGAAAAAAGAAAAGAAAAAAAAAAATCCCATCATAAACACCCTTACCCATCCCTAAGAACACGAGGATTGGGCCACTTTGGCTGGCTAACCCTTACAGTTCTAGTCCTGATCTCAACTACATTTTTAGAGGGTAGTTGGCCAGATCCATCAAGGGACCCTCGGGGCACCAAGCCCACCTCTGCTCTCTCAGCTCCTCTCTCTACCATATGTATGTAGCTGGTATGGTTTATGGGCAGTGAAACAAGACTCCCACCAGTTTATTAATATAACAGTAGAATACTACAGATTTTTTTTTAATCATTACCCCAATAGCCTTTCACCTCTGGAGAGCTGGATTCAATGCCTGTTAAGATACAAGTGAAAATGAGTTTGGTGGTCTCATTCTAACCCTATCGGACAAGTTATCCCTTATACCAAAAAAAAAAAAAAAAAAAAAAAAGCCCCAAAACAAAAGAAAAACAAAACCAAAAATACACTATATAATTTGGAACAAATGGATTGTCTCTACCCAAGTCTTGTGAACACCTGGTGGAGAGAAAGGGGATGCTAATCAGATCAAGGGGGCCGCTATGAGGATAGGTACTAGAAGTATCAGTCTACCCCTTTCCTGACAAGCATCCCCAGACCTCACCCCAAACCTTCCAGGGCTTTTTATTCTTTTATAATTAACTCACCCCAAATGAAAACCATGTTAACAAACACATTACCTCCTTTAGCCATAGTAGGTCAACTTTATACCAGCAGGTGCTAGATGATAATGAATTTTGTTTTAAACAGTTGTCAAGCTGAGACCTTGGGACTGGCCTCTGTCTTGTACTACACCTTACAAAAATAAACACTAAGGTATCCATACCACTGAATCCGGTGTTGCCATGGGTCATGGGAAAATGAGACTGTTGCATTGCCAATTGGTGCAGCTTGGTCAACTGCAGAAAGGAAAACAGGAGAGACCAGCATTAGAAGGGTAACCTAGTCAGCACTCAAGCACATCCAGATGGGAAAATGAACACAGCTCCTGCCTCCCAAAGTTGATACTACTATTCCAATGGTAACCGGATAAGAATGGGGCTTACAGTACAATCCAGAGGACAGGCAGAATACAGGACAGCAGGGTTAGAAACAGAAAGGATGTCAGTACACAAGAATGAACGCATTGGGGTGTGCGAGAAGGAAAGCAGTGACGCTGGCCCACAACCATCCCCTATGGACTGTTTAATGAAGGTGTAGGCAGTCACTGCCAATGGCTGCCCCAGGGACAAGCACGGACAGGCTAGGTAAACAACTGTGCAGTGGTGCTAGGGAAAACACACCATGCAGGGTTCCACCAGTATTGGGAAAAGGGAAGGAGATGAAGGGGGCAGGGAGACTGCAAGGAGAGAAGCTTAACAAGAAACCAAACTGGGCTTCACCCTCAACAAATACTTTCCCAACTATCTTAGTGGTAACACTCAGAAACCTGTCCAAGCTGGTGACAGAACACCCTTTTCTACCCTACTCCACATCTCTCCTGAAGCTGCCACTAACCAAGACTCAACTTCCCAGACCTAGTACTTGGCACCTGTGAGGGTTTTTAATGATGAAAGAAGTGTGCAAAAAAAAAAAAGTCCTTGAACAAAAATCTAAATACCAGTACTTTTAGTAAGAGGTTCTCAGTAAAGTTTGAGTTGAATTACAACAATTAGTTTTCTAGTTTCCCTCAATGCCTGTTCTAATTTGTAATCTCAGAATGAGAAGTGCCTAAAGGCAAACCCGACCTCCCATTCCCCAATGGGAAGCACACTTTAATGAGTTTGAATTGTGCCAAGATATTAATAGTGCACCATAGAACGTTTCTTTTAGAATAATCTGAAACACCGTTTAATAATCTGATAATGTCTAGGGGTTACAGTCAAAGGCAAACAAGCTGATATGTGTGATTCACTTTCTAAGCTGTAACAACACCATTGGTTCAAGACCCAACTTACTCCTGGTCTACTAGGGAGAAGAATCAAACAATTTTGGATAGAGAGGGAGTTTTTCAAACAAGAAGTGAAATCAAAACTTACATCTGGCTGTGGAATGGCATACTGTCCTTGAATGGTATAGGCCTAAAAAAGGAGGAAAACAATTCCTATTAAAAACCAATCACGGACAGCCACCCGGTGGGGGGCGGGGGGAGAGCAAGTTTTCAACTAGCCAGCAAGCCAGAGTTGAACTAGACAAAGGGAGGCATATTGAGACAGTAAAGGTAATCTCACAAATAGTCAGACCTGAGCTGGCCTTCTATGAACCCTAAATAAAGCAACTTTATTCCACAGATCCTCTTAAAAGGGTCTACAAGTTCTCTTCGATTAAGGTAAAATACACACGTCAGCTTTTTACCTAAAATGTGGAAAATAAAAGCAATGGCTCAACTGACCAATCCCCCTACCCCATATTCAATTCCAGATAGTAATCACACTAACATGAATGGTTTATATCTACACAGACCTGCACCATATATATTCAACATTGCCTAAGACCCTAAATTAACAAGAAGCTAGCTAGGTCTCTAATGCCAGGGACCTGACACAGAAGCACTGGGGGAGGGGGAGGATCAATTTGCTAAGTCCTGTCTTTCCTACCCCCCGCCCCTATCCCTGCATAAAGGCACTTGCAGCTCCCACTATGCCCTCCTCCCCACACCATATCTTCCCAAAAAGGGAGCTGGGTCTTTAGGGAAATTGGGTTGGGGGGGGTGACAAGGAAAAAAGAAGGAATGGAAGGGAGTGGCTGGTTACTTAATAGAATGTGAACTTTCTCACATCAGTTACAGTGGCGAGTACCCCCAAAAGTACATCCAGGTGGGAGTGGGAAGGTGAAAATGGGATGGGAGGAGTGGGAGAGGGAAAGAGGGATTGAACAACAGCAACCAAAAAAAAAAAAAGAAAAAAGAAAAAAAATTAAAAAGAAAAAAAAAGGTTGGCGTTACCATCTGGTGGGCTACGCGGCCTGTGTGAAATGAGGTGGGGAGGTCAGTCCAGGTCCCCGTGGACAGGTGGTGTCCACAGCACAAAAATCACCAGCGCCACTGGCCCCCCGTGTGTTGGCAGTCTCGGCTGAGGCGGAAGGATTGAGTGAGCCTTGGAGACTGAACATCCCCTCTCACCTCTAGAGGTGGTCCCTCCAGGTCAGGGTTGAGGCACATGGACGGGGTGGTGTGGGGAAAGCTCGCACTGTCGCTGCCTGTGCTGTACCTGTCCTGTGGATAAATAGAGGATTTCAGTCTCCAGGGCTGTCAATCCGGCACCTTGTCACCAGCATGAAATTCACACCAAAAAAAAAAAAAGTTGTTTATTTTTTTTTTCCTTAAAAAGGAGCTCACAACACAGATTTGAAACGAGCTGTAATGAGTGAATAAAAAAAGTTACCTAGCGGCAGATGATACTGCACAATTGGGTTATTTTCAGTAAGAGTGGGGGGTGAGGTAACAGAGCTGATGCTGGTCTTGGTCACTGTAGGATTGAGTTAAACCCCTACAGAACCCACTTTGTCACAAAAGACAGAGGTCCATATGTGGACATTGTATGAACTGGTCCATTTATAAAAAGGCCCATGGGAATGACCCATGACAGGGCAAGTCATGGAAGAAGCTGCAAGCTTTAAGAGGGCAGTTAACTGAATAAAGGGAGGATGGTATGGAGAGGAAGAAAAAAGGTACAAAGGGAAAGGAGTGACAGGGAGGAAGAGAAGAAGGATGGATTGGTGACCCAGCATTGGATAACCTAGAGTTCCATGGTTAACTCTTGGGGCTAACCCTCCTGGCTACTGCTTATCCTCCCAACTACTTGTATTGGCAGGACTTTGACAAACCTGCTGAAACAAAGCTAATGCTTAAACAAAGTCCTAACATCTCACAATAACACTGAAATATAACTACTTATGAAAACTCTCAGCAAGACATAGACTGGTTCACTTTTATTACTCAGTAAAATGTGAGATGATCTCCAAGTTGATACTTCCTCTCTCAAATACCTTTCAGACTAAATACAAATATAACTAGCTAAATACAGATGTTTTTTAAATAGGACAGTCCAAAGTGGGAAGGGCACTTTTAAGCAACATACCTTCACCTACCAAAATGACTGCGACTATTTCAACCTAAATCACAGAATTCTAAAAACCTACTCCAGAGTTAACACTAATAATCAGAATACACTAGCACCATGACATTTATCAATACTCTTCTCACACAACCCTAACTTTAGCATAAACCATGTGTCAAAAGATAAATGATTTAGATTGGTGAGGAATAGAGGTGCCAAGCCCAGCATGCTCGCTCTCCCCATCCTATCCTTGAATGCTCCTCTTACTCCAGCTGATTTAAATTATACCACATGGTTTCAAACCAGTGGTTATGAGTTTAAGAGTCTGGGGGATAACACACTGGAGTCTGGGGGTGAAAAGGGTAGAGTAGGGGAGGTGAGGTGAAGGGAAGGGAAAGTTTGTAGAACACTCAAGCTCAAGAGCCTACCACCCCATGCCCCCATGACATTTGAGACTACCACCCTTCTTTGCTATCATTACTCATCTCTAACATCCCACGCACACAAAAGCATGAATGGGATGGTGATATAGGGAAAGTAATGACACTGAAAGAAATGTAACTTTAACCCAAACCACCACCAAAATCAATTACTCTTCTGAGTGTCTACAAAACTTCCACTATAAATAAGGTCTTGGCATTCAAAATTTTCTATAGTACCAAAAAAAAAAAAAAAAAGAAAAAGAAAAAAAAAAGCAAATCAAACTATGGCCAAATGTTTTCAGCAAGCATGCAAAGTAGCTTGGTGTGCTGCTGGCAAAGCAGATATCTAACACTCTCTGTTCATTCTGCCCACCAATGGAGTTCTCTTACCTGACCACCTGCAAAGATGACTGGAGAACTCGAGGGCTTGGGCCGGTACGGGATGGTCACGCCCTTCGGGGGGGACTGGGAGAGAGTCAGAGGGGAAAAAAACAAAAAGAGATAAGGTTTCAAAGCTGCTTCAGCTGTGTGGCGATAGCACACACAGGTCAGTTAAATAAAAATGACTTCCATCCCCTCAATTACCAAGCTGTACATGATTAGATATTGTAATCTCAAATATCTGATATTTATTATTTGTCTTTAAAGCAACAAGAAACTTCATGGCTCACTAATTTTCACCAAATATGTCCTGAAATAGTTTTAGTCATTTCTACACTTGGTTGTTTTCTGGATTTTTTTTTTTTTCCGAGACAGGGTTTCTCTGTAGCTTTGGAGCCTGTCCTGGAACTAGTTGTTGAAGACCAGGCTGGCCTCGAACTCTGCCTGCCTCTGCCTCCCAAGTGTTGGGATTAAAGGCGTGCACCATAACCGCCAGGCTGATTTCCATACTTGTAAATAAATTTCATCCACACACACACACACACACAAATGTATAGATATACTTCAACTGATAATTTTTAGGATCTCAAATTTTTGTATAAGTAATAAAATCTAAGTTGGATATGAAATTTCCAAATGTTACATATATGGTTCAAAAAGACACAAGCAACATCTTTTTCCTTTCAGATTCAACTTTATGTAACTCAAAAAAGATTTAATTTCCTTTAATTTCTATTTTTTTTGCAACAGAATAACAGGACTTCATAATTCACTCAAAAACACTACCATTTGATATTTTTTTCTAACTATTGACTATATAAATAAAAGAACTATATCAATGTCAAGTGATTCAAAAGGTTAGTTTCAGAAATCCAAAATCCTTGTAGTCTCTTACCCTACCCACAATACTAAAATTATTCTGAGCCACAAGACTACTTAGCAGATCCTATTTTTGCTCACAAACTAAGATAAGTCAAAACTGGCAAAAGGAAAATATAAACAAGAGAACTTCTTTCCCCACCCCCACTGATAGCCTACCAGCTCCACCTAATTCTAGTCTTACTAAATATAGATCAGTTCCTCTGTCCCCAGAATCACCCCTACCTCCAGCATGAGCCTGAGGGCTTACCTCCAACATGACCACGCAGATCTGTTTGACACACTCAATGATGGATTGCGGAATGCCAGCAATAGTGATTGCCCGCTCAGTTGAGTTGGGGAGCATATCCCCTGCCACCTGGACCTGAGCCCCTGTACTCTTTAAGGTAAAAGGAAATTAGAAATCAGAGAAAAACTATGTTTTCCAATTCAATTCCCCAAATGGCAACTTTATAATGTGATATTCAATAGACACTCATTACCCCCTTTCTTTCTCTTTTCCCAATTCTTCCTTTATCTGACACGACTGCTTACAAAAGTTAAAAATAAATAAACTCTGATGCTAGCAGAGCACACACAAGAAAAATAACTGCACTGGATCCCAAGACGGGTGGACCTCTTTCTTAATGTCCAGTGTCCTTTGTCTTAAGATTTGGTGCAATAAGTCTTTAGTAATGACAGTTTTCAACATGTCGTTTGCATAAAATTTACATCAGATAATTCTACATATCACATATATATATACATATATATATGCATTATGATTCGTAAGAGCAGCCAAATAAATTATAAAATAGCAACAAAAACTTTTATGGTTGGGGGTAAGCGCAACATGAGCGACCTGTCTTAATGAGTCACAGCATAAGTTGAGAACCACTGATTTAAACAAGTTTTCTTAAAATGGAAAATTTAATTGACATAACTTTTTTAACCTACATTAGAAAAAAAATAAATTAATTAACTCTGAAAGATAAGAATAAAACTGCATAATGGTCTACATTTAACCTGCACAAGGAAGTCTCTTCTAAACAATTTTCTCTTACCTAATAATGACAGCTTTGACACACTCCAAACAAACTCCTCACAATTATCACCTACCTTTCATACTTATTTGAGCAAACATTTTCATCAATCCTATTCTATATGTCAGATACCATTCCAAGTATTTAAAATTTATCATCCAAACAAAATCTCAAACTAGTTATTCGCACCTATAATCTCTGAAGCTGAAACAGATGGACCATCTGACACGTTTATGGCCAACTTTGGATATAGTAAGACACTATCACCAAAACCACTTCCCCTGACCCACAAAAACACATGGTCCCTGTGCAGAAAACTAACCATCCTGTACAAAGACTTCAAAGAACTCCAACTAGTTTCCCTCGAAACCATTTAGTAACATTTCATCTAGACATAAAAAATATTAATTAAGAATTGATAAAGAAGCCAGGTGGAGACTGGCTTAGAGGTTGAAGAGCACTGGCTGCTCTTCCAAAGGAACCAGGTTCAAGTACCAGCACCACCACATGGCCACTCACAACTGTATGTAACTCCATTTTAGGGGCTCTGGCTCCCTCACAGACATAACTGTAGGGAAAATACTAATAATATCAATGCACATAAAATAAAAAATAAGAGATTTAAAAAAAAAGCCAGAAAGCGATGGTATCCACCTCTAATCCCAGTACTTAAGAAGTAGAGTTAAGATATACCTCTGTGAGTTCAAGACCAGCCTGGTCTACAGAGTGAGTTCCAGGACAGCTAGAACTACATAGTGAGACCTAGCCTTAAAAACTGTTTTTAAGGGACTTGGAAAAATGACTGAATGGTTAAGAGCATCTGTTGCTCTTGCTGAGAACCTGGGTTTAGTTTCCATCACCCGCATGTCCCTCACAACCGTCTGTGACTCCATTTCATGAGATCCAACTCTCTTCTGCATTCTGCTGACAAGTGGTGACTATGTTGTGTGCATACATAAAGTTTTAAAATTATTTTAGGACTAGAGAGACGGCTCTGTTGTTTACAGCTTCCTAATAATAATTCCTACAGATAATCTGAATTCAGTTCCTAGCACGTAATTCTGCTCACAACCATCTGAAACTCCAGCCCGGGGAAATCCAGAACCTTCTTCTGGATTCCAGGGCACCTGCACTTTCATGCAAATATTCACACGGGGTGCATCTTCAACCCAGGCTGGGTGGCTCTTGACTTTAATCCCAATACTCAGGAAGCAGAAGCAGGAGGGTCTAAATTTGAGATCAGCCTTGTTCTACAGAGTTCCAGGAACCTTGCCTTGAAAAAAATCAAAATATATAATCTACCAGAAAAAAAAAAATTTAGTGGTTCAGTAGGTAAAGACAACTGCAACTAAATCTACCAACCTGTATTGGAGCCCAGTGAATACACATGGTAGAATGAAAAAAACTGACTGTCATGCCACATGCCCTCTGACCAGTATGCACACATAGTATAATGGGGGGGTGGGGGTGTAAAGGAAGATGGCCCAGTCTATAAAATGCTTGTAAGCACAAAACCAAGAACACATAAAAGATAGGCAGGAGAATCCCGGATGAATTAATTGAACAGCCAGGCCAGAAAAATCTGTCTTGTGGGGTAAAAAGGGAAGGGGGAGAGGAAGCATGAAATGGGACATGGTAACACCCACTTTTAATCCCAGCACTGGGGAGACAGAGGCAGATGGATCTCTTTGAAATCAAGGTCAGCCTGGTCTACTGGGCAAGTTCCAATACAGCCAAGGCTATAGAGAAACCCTGTCTCAAAAAAACTGACCTCCCCCGACCCAAGATAAAATAAATGATAACTATATGCAAAAAGTTATTCTCTCATATTCTGACTCATTACTGAACTAGGCAAGGCTATATCTAGTCCTAGGTACTTGGGAGGCTGAGGGAAGAATACTAGTAATTTAGAAGTCCCAGGCTAGTAACATAGCAACGATCTCACCTTTAAAAAATAAAAGGGGCTAGGGAATAGTGCACTGAGATGTAGCTTGGGGGAGTATCCACCTTGCATTTGTGAGCCACCATGTAATTGCTGGGTATTGAACTCAGGACCTCTGCAGAGCAGTTAGTGCTCTTAACCTCTGAGCCATCTCTCCATCTCCACCTTGCATTTGTGCGGCCCTGGGTACCTACCTTGGATAGCACAAAAACTGAAATATATGAATTGTGTTTTTATTAATTAATTTATTATGTATACAGTGTTCTGCCTGCATGTATGTATGCAGGCCAGAAGAAGCCTCAGATCTCATTATAGATGGTTGTGAGCCACTATGTGGTTGCTAGGAATTGAACTCAGGACCCAAGGAAGAGCTGCCAGTGCTCTTAACCACTGCACCATCTCTCCAGCTCCTGAACTGTGTTTTAAAGAAAATTATAACACTTTAATTCCAGTATCATCACACTACAGTCTTCAAGGACTGCTAATCATGATCAGTTATCAGGTTAAACATAGGGCCACAGACACATTAAGCAACTACTGTACTACCAGAACCAAATTTCAATACCTTTTTTAATCCTACTTTTTTTTAAAACTGAGATCTCACCTGGCTGGCCTGAAACTCATTATGTAGCTAGACCATGCTGACTTCAACATGACCCTTCTGCTTCTTACTCCCAAGTGCTGGCATACACCACCATACTTGGCTCCATCTTGTATTTTTTTAGATAGGGTCTCCTAAATGTCAATGAGCTGGCCTTGATCTTTACAGCAAAGGCAAGACCTGAACTTGGAGTCTCCTATGCAGCTGAGATTACAGACCTGAACCATCACGAAGTCCATCTTAAATCTTCACATCACATGCTAAACTTTTCTAGCCATAACACAATCTAGTATAGGTATAAGGATGCACCATTCAGAAGGCAGAGGCTCTCCCAGAGATCTGTCTAAATAGAAAAAAAAAAAAAAAAAGTGAAGCTAACAGACATTTGGGGGAGGGGGGAACCAACCTCTCTTATTTCCTTGATCTTGCAACCACCTTTTCCAATGAGAGAGCCACACTGACTAGCAGGGACCACGAGCCGTAAGGTAACTGGGGGTCTGCTGGCAGCTGTGCTATTGGTCATAGAGCTGCTTATGTCCTGTAAAAAAAAGAAAATTACTCAGAACACCAAAAAGATAAGTGTGTGTGTGTGTATGTGTGTGTGTGTGTGTGTGTATGAAAGTGCATGAAACAAGTACTCCTGGACTTGTAAGGAACATACATGTATAACTATACCAAACTAAGTGAACATTATAATATCTGAGCCCAATGTGGTAATAATAATCCAGGACTCTGAAAAGGTAAGATCCAGTAGGAACAGACCATGTTCCCCTATCCTTCCAAATGAAACAGAACTTGCTCATTGTTAAAATGCTTACCCTGGAATGGATCACTTGCCACAACACATACACACACAAAAAACAGAAAAAATAACTGCAAAAGGGGCTGGAGAAATGGCTCAGTGGTTAAGAGCATTGCCTGCTCTTCCAAAGGTCCTGAGTTCAATTCCCAGCAACCACATGGTGGCTCACAACCATCTGTAATGAGGTCTGGTGCCCTCTTCTGGCCTGCAGACATACAAACAGACAGAATATTGTATGGATAATAAATATTTTTTTAAAAAAAATAACTGCAAAAGAAACCATAATCTAATTTTTCTTCACTACAAGGGTACAGAAAAAAGCAACACTTCTAACAAACAAAGCTGGCCTTCCTTCCATTTGGATTACAAATGTAATTTGTCAAGCATGCACAATCCAAAGTTTCTAATCCTAGTAGCCAATATTTTTATTTTTTTTTTTTTGTTTGTTTTTTGTTTTTTTTTCTCTCCAAGATAGGGTTTCTGTGTAGCTTTAGAGCTGTCCTGGAACTAGCTCTGTAGACCAGATTGGCCGCCTGCCTCTGCCTCCCAAGTGCTGGGATTAAAAGTGTGTGCCACTGCCACCACCAGGCAGTGGTACCCAATATTCAAATAAAAAAAAAAAAAGTAGGGTTAAGGGAGATGACTCAGTGGTAAAGAAAGCTTTCTGTACAATCAAATAAGAAAAGAACCCAGATCAGTTCAGATCCCTAGCACTCACAAATGTTGGGTATGGCTGTGATGCCTGCAATCCTACCACTGGGTGTGGAACAGAAGTATACAAGAAACTGAAAGGCTGGCAGTGAGAGATAGTATCTCAAAGCTGTAAGGCAGAACACAATAGAAAACACCTGCTATCCTTCCTCTGGTACTGCAGTGTGGACATTCACACATGCATATACACATACACAAAGAGTAATTTAAGCTAGAGGGGAAAATTGTCAAAATTAAACTAAAGATATGAATATATGAAGCAATGCAACCACAATCAAACTGAATGTCCTCTTACAAAATCAATACCCAATACCAGATAGCTAAAATGATTTAAGGTTTGTATTTTTGGCTTTTGTAGCGCTAGGACTTTCATATGCTTACCAATCACTCTACCATGAGCTATACCCAATCTCAGATTTCAACTTCCCAGTTTTATTTGTTGAAAATACAAAGCACTATAAAGACAATGAAACCAGGAATTATATCTAAAATGCTCTGAAGCAGAGCTCTGGGATTGGCAACAGATCAATTCTAAGAGTCCATGCTTTCCCAGGAATTGTGGCACATGCCTTTAATTACAGTACCAGGAGGTAATAGGCAGATACCTGAGTTTGAGGCTATCCTGGTCTACAGAGCTTGCTTTGAAGCCAGCCTGACCAGGACAGCCAAGACTACACAGAGAAACCCTGTCTCAAAACCAAAAGAAAAAACCAAAAAGAGCCTGAGCATATGCATGACGCCTTTGGTTCTATTCCAGCAAACAGAGCAAACCACAACAAAACCTGTATTGATCAAAAGCTTTCCTAGACACTGTATCCCAAACAGTAAGATTTCCTATTGTTATCGCTGTTGACTTACATGAGTGCAGGTGTAGGTCAGAGAATAAATGTGAAAGTGAGCTCTCTCCTTCCACAATGTGAGTCCAGGGACTAATCCAACCACTGTCAGGTGTTGGGCAAGTGCCTTCACCTGTTGAGCCTCCTCAATGACCCCCCCAAATTTTTTAATTAATTTATTCATTTTTCAAAAGTTTTCAAGCCAGACGGTGGTGGTGCACACCTTTAATCCCAGCATTCAGAAGTATCTGCCTGTATATAGAGTTCAAAATGCAAAATGTACGATTTCAGCAGGACCCTAAAAAAACTACATTAAGTTCATTCAACTGTAAAACCATCAAGGAAGCAATGGCACACCTCAAAACAATTAGTGAGGAAATGTTTCAATGACAAAGTTGGAAAGGGTAGTGTACATTTTATGAGATCCCAATAGTCAGGTGACACAGAACTGCTGAAGGGTATCTTGAACTACTAGTAGTGCCAGACTTCCACAGTTATCTCAATAAATAAAAAGACCAAAAGAAAGCCATACCAAAAGGGGAGGAAGGCTGGAGAGATGGCTCAGCAGTTAAGAGCATTGGTTGATCTTCCAGAGGACCCTGGTTCAATTAGCAGGACCCATGACAGCTCACACCTGTCCCTAACTCCAACTACAGGGCTTCTGACACCTGCCCCCCACAGACATAAACTTGGGCAAATGAACGTAATGAACGTAAAATAAAAATAAATTATACACTTAAAACAAACAAACAAACAAAAAAAAAAGACAGTGGCTGAAGGTACAGCTCAAGTACTTAACAGGCTTACTTAATCTCAGTTTTGTTTTAGGACTGGTAGGTAATGGGAAGGAGAGGCAATCCTAAAACTCACACACACACACACACACACACACACACAAACCTCTTCCAGTTTATCAATGATCATAGCAAAGGCTTTGAAGATGGCATTAGTCGGTCCAGCCAAAGTGATAATTCTCTCAGGACAATTCCCTTCTGAGATGTTGATACGTGCACCACTCTGGATAAGAAAAAGAAACAAGTAGTTTTAATAGATAAAAAGAGCTGAAATTGTAGAGGATAGCCCATCCTAGATAATACACACAGGCAAGGGCAACAAGCTGCCTAAATAAAGCAAGCGTTTCAAATTGAGGACAACTGCTCCACTTGTCCTCAAACAACATACTGCATGCAGCTCGTGTTTTTTGAGACTCGGCACAAATTCATTTCCTATCTATGTACTGTTTGTCATTACAGCAACAGAAAATGCTTCCCCCCTGTAATCTATCATACAGAAACTTTTCAGGTCAGGGATTCAGTCTAGAGAATCCCACTGTTCTTATAACTTACCTCCTCGCGCATCTTCTTAACAGATTCTCCTTTCTGAAAAAGGAAAAGTCAAGCATGAGCTCCAACTATTTCAGCTCAGACTAACTAAATAGCAATTAATGTTAAAGTGAAACTCTTACCTTTCCGATGATACTGCCAACTTCCTGCAATGAAGAAAACATTGGTAACAGGAAATTCAGAGTTCATCATTTTCATCATTATGAAAAGAAAACTCTAAATGTTCAGCTAACCAAGTGCTAATTATACTAATTACCAAATCAAAGAAATAGATTTTAAGATTCATGGGGGGAAACTTATTCATTTCCTTGCACAAAATTTTATAGTGAAGCTACCAAAGAATTGAGAATCAGAATGAATACCACACCTTTGTGTAATATGCAAAATGAGGCCTGGAGATATAACTCCACAATAGTGTTGGCCCTCAATCTCCTGTACACCCAAAAATCAAAACAATTTTTTTTCTGAAACTGTAAGATACAACAACATACATCAGAATGTTTTACCAGCCAGCTAGGACTGTTTTTTGGCTCTGCTTGTCCTTCTTGCTCACTGAGGCTTCCTAGTAAAAGCTGTCCATCTTTTCACCACACTCCATTAGAGAAGAGTGGCACAGCCAGATGTCCCACAGTGCTAATCTGATGAGCTCCCACATGCTTGTCCGCTTTTCCTGGCCCCTCCCGTACCAGCTACTATGACCCAATTTTCCAAACTGGTGCATACCTTTCCATGCATAAGTAGCCTGATAGTAAGAGTGACATTTAATCCACCTTCAATCACACCGGTGTCCATGTCTAGTAGTTACAGGGAGCTGGACTTTTGAGTGGTCAAGTCTTTGGTCACGGGTGGGAGTGAATGCCAAAACTATAAGAATGACCAAAATGAGAAGGGGGGAATAAATAAAGAGTAATTATTTTCCAGTTATTTTCACTTCACCCTTTAAACTGTTACCTAATGGACTCTTTTCCTTAAATGTTAGCCTATCAGACTTGTAAACACACTCAGCACAACTGCATAACACTTACAGATCAGGTTTTGTTTCCAGTTTGCTCATTAATGATAGGGTTTCCACCGATGACTGGGATGAGAAAGATTCATTCCTTCCACTGGCAATGGTTACGGGGGAACTGCTCAAGTGCACGAAGTTGTACTTCAGCTGAGTACATTTTGAAAAGGATTCAAAAGCAGCTGGACAAGGTTTACTACAGTGAGGGCAAACTCAGCTTGCTGGCTACTGGCATCAACTGGAGTAAATAGAGTATACACATAAAGGTCTCTAACCGTTAACAGTTTCTAACTCTCAGATGGTGATGGATACCCAATGACTTTAAAATGATTTAGTTCAGAACTGTGCACGGTGGTACATTACTGATCTCAACACTGTAGGGTTATGACAAAATTGCTGTAAGTTCAAGGCCACCTTGGGCAATGTATTGAGAGCCAAGTCAGCTGCCAAGACTACAAATTGGGACAGTCACAAAGTAACAAAAATAATTTAATCCAGGAGTCTCACTGAAAGAAAGTGAGATATATCCAATATACATTCCACAAATGATGGGGCTCCACAATCCTCCTCTGAATGATTCTGTACATCTCAGTTCTCTCTTCTCCCATTCTTTCTTTCTAATCAATCTGAGGAATTTTCCTTATCCTTGAATGTAACTTTGACTACCACACACTTCTAAAATCTTTTAACTCAAATACAACAATAAAAACGAAACTGTCAGTGGTAAAGTTTGACTTCACATTGCTTTAAAGCATCAGTAGGTGACAGATTCCCAGGATGCAGCATGCACTCATCTTCTCAAACAACTCTACTTGTAGAGACAGGACAATTGGGATTTTGATGTTTTTGCCTTTAATAACCAAACACTGATACTTCGAAAGGACAGTGAAATTTCAAAAGCATGTCAAGTATACATCCCTTCAAATCAGTATCAGTGACTTCTCTTAACTCTGTCCTTCCAAACACCAGCTTTCCCTGTGCTGTGTATTTGAAATCCCCACATCCTTAAGTTGTTTTTGGAACAGAGTCTATGTAGCTCAGGACAGAATGGAACAGGCTAGTAACACCAGGCTGGCCTCCAAACTCCAAGACCAATCTGCCTCTGCACCCCAAATCCAAGCCTTAAACATTATAAAGCACTTAAAAAGGTGGCTGCTACACCACTCTGTATATGGTAAAGGTCTTCTGGTTACTTCAGGATGATAAGTAATTATATAAATGCATTCCAAAGCACAGCAGGCCCCTACTTCCAGAAAAGTTACTTGCTGTCAAAGACCTCAAGTCAACATCTTTTGGGAAAACAATGCTTATTGATTTTAGGTCTGTAAAACTCATTTTTCTCCCCCCAAATACAAGGTATAAACCTGACAGCTTTAATTCCGTATGCCTACTCAAATGATTAATCATTTTCAAAATACAGTAATACAAGTTCAAAGAGACAAGAACACCAAAAATTTATCTCCAAAACCATGTAAGTAAAACAGAAAGATGCGTTTTTTTTTTTAAAAACTCCAAGCCCTCTAATCTGAGAAACCTGTCTCTTCCTCTCCTGAGTAGGTCAACCAAAGTGTACCCCATCCCGGGAATCCAGCTGTTAATCCCGCAGTCAATACCCCTCTATAAATAGCTCGGTCTGGTTTATAGCGGCAGGCATTTTATAATTTCAAAATTCGTTACCCGAGAGAACGTCAGAGTAACTCGGTAACTGGGAGTCCGCCTACCCTTTAACTCGGCAGTCCCCCTCTCCCCTCCCCCCGGCCCCGGTCATCCAAGCATTTTCCACTTAAGAAAAAATAAGCCCCCCCTTCCCTTGACTAGAGGGGGGAGGAAATAAACGGTTCGGTCAGGGGGGGGCGCTGCGACCCAGGGGGAGGGGCCGGGCAAGTAGCGCCTCCTCGTGAGGCTGCGCCAGCGCCTGACCCCCGCGGGGAGCCGCGCTCACCCGCCCGGCCAGCGAGCCGGCCATCGCCTCCCCCACCCCCCTCAACCAACAAATCCACCGCCGCCCGCCCCTGCCGCGCGCGCCCTCCCTGACTCCTGCGCAGCCGCCACCGGGAAGAGGCGGGGGGGAGGGGGGAGCAGGCTTTGCGCGAGGCCTACTAGGCCGCGCCAGAGCCAGGGCCTCGCGTGAATGGACGGCCAGGAGGAGAGTAGTGGACGCTCACGCGGGACTACGAGAGGCCGAGGCTCCAGACTACGAACGGAGTCCTCCAAGAAAGATGACACGAGTGGAAACAGAAGCTACTGCCGGGGGCGGAGGAGAAATTTTTAAGCTTACCTGGAGGCGCGAGTCGACTGAGGGGAAAAGGGGAGCGGGCGGGAAGGGGAAGGGCGGGAGGCCGGGGGCGGAACAATAGGGGCGGGCGGGAAGGCGAGGGGGGCCCCGCTGGCGGGCGGAGGAGGGGGGTGGAGGAGGAGGAAGGGGAAGAGACCCCGGGGCGGGTGGAGGGCGGCGGAGGGCGGCGGAGGGCGGGCGGGCGGGCGGAGGGCGGGCGGGCGGGCGGGAGAGGGCGCAGGCTGCGGCTGCTCCGGCTGCTGCCTCTGCTGGTCTGGGAGGGGGACGGGGCGGAGCGGGCCGCTTTCAACCCCGCGCACCCTTCGACCCCGGAAGCGCTAACCGCCCCGGGGGCCGGCGAGTCGACTGCGTCGTCCACACTTTCCCCACGCAATGCGGACGACCTTCGCGGAGCCTAGAGCGGCTCCTTGGACGGCGTCGGCACCAGCGAGACAACGGCCGGTAACTAGCGGCGAGGTCCAGGATAGAGCGGCAGCAGAGACGTGCGGAGAAAACTAGTGGCCTCTAGCGGGCGAGCCGGAAAGCTCAGGCCTAAGTGAGAATTGAGGTGGCCATCGCCGTGGCTCAAGAAGAGAGGGAAGGATAATCTAATCCAGTTTTTAAAAAAAGAGAGAATAGCCAGGCTGAAAGTATCACACAAAATGCTTACTCTAAAAACAATAATCCAGTTTAGTAAGAAATAAAAGCATCACTATTCTGCCCAGAACACTGTGTCAGGAAATAAAAATGATAATGAAGAATTGAACTTAAGAAAAATGTTCTTGCCACTTTTCGAGACACGGTTTCTCTGTGCATCACTAGCTGTCCTGGCACTCGCTTTGTAGACCAGGCTTCGCAGAGATCCGCCTGCTTCTGCCTCCCTCCCAAGTGCTGGGATTAAAGGCGTGCACCACCACCGTCCCGCAGTTTCTTGGTTTTTTAACATTTTGAAAACCCTGAATATTGCACACGCCTCAAGACAACTATCTTGGTTTCGTTAAAAAGGCAATAAACTTTTTTTTAAATGTTTATTTTAACTCACACGTATGGTTTTGTTGTCTGCATACTACATGTGTGCCTTTCAGAAGAGGGTGTCAAAGCCCCTGGCACTAGAGTTACAGATGGTTGTGAGCTATCATGTGGGTGCTGGGAATTGAACTTGGGTCCCTCTGCAAAAACAGCAAGTGCTCTTAACCCCTGCGCCACCTCCCAGCCCACAGAAAAGGTTTTTATGATTATCTTGTGTGTGTGTGTGTACAAACTGTGTGCGCTTCCACCGCAGCAGGCATGAAGCAGGCAAAGGGTGACTTTCACCAGGAGTCAGCTCTTCCTTCAGCCAGGCAGGTCCTGGAGATCAGACTCAAGACATCTGGCTTAATGACAAATGTCTTTTCCATCTTGTAAGTCATCACAGTGGCCCTTCCTTAGAGCTGAAGAGATGCCTCCGTAGTTAAAAGCACTAACTGTTCTTCCAAAGGGTCTCACACTGTATTAACTCGTTACATAGAATACAACGCCCTCTTCTGGAATGCACAGGCACTGCATGCAAGTGGTACACAAGTGGCAGGCAAAACACACATTTAAAAAAGAACAGCAAACCAGGCAGTGGTGATGCACGTCCTTAATCCCAGCACACGGGAAGCAGGGGCAGGCGGATCTCTATATAAATTCGAGGCCAGCCTGGGCTACAAGTGCTAGTTCCAGGACAGGCTCCAAAGCTACAGCGAAGTCCTGTCTCAGAAAACGATAGATAGATAGATAGATAGATAGATAGATAGATAGATAGATAGATAGGGGTGGGTGGATGGATGGATAGACAGACAGACAGACAGACAGACAGACAGACAGACGAAACAAAAACCAGGTAAAGCCGTCAGGAGTGGTGGCGCACGCCTTTAATTACAGCACTCAGGAGGCAGAGGTAGGTGGATCTCTGAGTTCAAGACCAGCTTTGTGGGGCTGGAGAGATGGATCAGAGGTTAAGAGCACGGGCTGCTCTTGCAGGGGTCCTGAGTTCAATTCCCAGCAACCACATGGTGTCTCACAACCATCTGTAATTCGATCAGGTTCCCTCTTCTGCCATGCAGATAGAACACTGTATACATAATAAATAAATTAAAAACAAAAAACAAAAAAAAGAGTATAAAGCTTAAAAAAAAAAACCAGCTTTGTCTACAGTTCAAGAACAGAACAGTACTCTGGCCGGGCGGTGGTGGCACACGCCTTTAATCCCAGCACTTGGGAGGCAGAGGCAGACAGACCTCTGTGAGTTCGAGGCCAGCCTGGTCTACAAGAGCTAGTTCCAGGACAGGAACCAAAAAGCTACAGAGAAACCCTGTCACGAAAAATCAAAAAAAAAAAAAAAAAACA